TTAAGATAGATGGAGGCCTGCTTAAAAAGGTCATACATCGTGCGAACTAACAAATCATTCTATGTTCCTTCATTCATATCCATCCATCTATTCAATCCCACCAAACCATCACAACATCAATTATTACCCCTTTCACAATCAAAACGACTAGACAACGAAACAAACCCAACAACGATAACACTAACAACGACATCCAGCAACTAAAATGCAGACACTGCCATGTAAACAAAATGAAACAAAACAGCCAAGCTGCTATTTTTCAATCTAGGAAAAGTATGTAGGGGTACATTGATTTCTAAGCAAAATAATTACATCAAAAAATTAACATTTACAACTCAACCAAAAATTGCACTTTTCTCCGTATTTTTTTGTTTTTTTTGGAGTTACTTTCACGTAATAGTGCACACTATAAAACAGGTTAACCAATGCATTTTGGGTTAAATTAAGATGATGCGTTCTAGTGGGATAATGCACAATGGCAAATAATTTCTGCACTCTCTGGTTTCAAATATCATGTAATATTATTTTCTCATCATTTTCATTTTTATTTATGCTTACTCAATGTTTCAAATTGAATTAATACTGATAAAATAAAAAATTTCTATTCATATAACCTAATTTATGTTATAAATATTCTTTAAAATTCAGTCGCTATTTTTGACATTTGCCTTGTGCAGACAAATTATCATGAATTTGAAAAGTTTATGAAGAGTGAATCCACAACAATTCAAATAAATTCTAATTTCAGTGACTGTGTTTGAAATACGTAAATACGTGGAAACATGTAAGACGTAAATCCAACTCAGATAATAACAGAACTTGGAACTTTTTCAAGTGGCACTAATGTCAAAAAAATTGTTCAGTTCCATTCCATCACTTGAGAGAAATCCATTTATGACAGAACGCGGGAAGTTACAGACGCACAATAATTATAAGTAAACTAGGATATTGATTTTAATTTCAAACTAAAATGCTGCTAGTTTACTACTGCTTTTTTAAAATTAATTTTAATACCTTTGATGCAACATTATATCCAACACTGTAAAATTGCATTGGAGATTTACACTATGACATTATGCGGCAACAAACATTCACATTTGAAATTTTAAACTAATTAATTTTTATAATTTTTTCCATCTAGTTTTCTGCCGGATCAAACAGATATGTTTATTCGTAATGTCATCTTCTTTATCATTCAAGCCAATTTCCAAAAATGAATAGCGTCAAACAACTGTACACGGGCCCAGATTGAAAGAAATATTTTTAGATGGAACTATTTCGAGATGAAAATATTTCGAGATGAAAATATTTCGAGATGCGACCACTGGCCACATGAGAGTGATTATAATATTTGTTGAGTGGCCACCCGTTCAACTTCCACTGCTGCTTCTGATATATTTTTTAAGATATCATCAAAACGATGTCGTTGTTTAAACACTCTTTGATAGCATTGTGGGTAAATTTAGATTTTATGCACTCGGAACTATTCTAATTTAAAATCTAACATAAAAAATATTTGAAATTTCTGGTGATTTGAATATTTAAAAAAATGCCATCTTTAAACCGACCGGCACGTTAATTTTTTGGTTTCATTATTGTAAAAATTATTATATTAAACAAATTTGACAACAACTATAACCAGTTATTAACCCACCATCATCAGCATCGTCGTCATCATCATTGTCACCGTTATCTTCACCTCAATATTTATCCGCATCAGCATCTCCATCGCGAATCTTATCATTACCATCGCCAACAGAACGCAACTATAATCAGTAAGCAATCTTAATTTCACAGCCCATAAAACGCCTATATATAAAATGTGAACCAGCAATGTAATGTGCCCCCGATATAATGTGCTCTTTTATAAAACCTGTTTGGGAGAACTCCTCCCTCTCTCTCTCTCTCTCTCTCTCTCTCTCTCTCTCTCTCTCTCTCTCTCTCTTACTCGTCATGTCTACATTCTCTTCTCTTCTTTGCCATCTTCATATTGTTGGTAATTCAAAACTTCTTATTCAATATAATTAGCCTAGTTTTCATGGTCAAACACAAATACACATACCTCAAAGGAAGTTCCGCATAAGAGTAGAAATGCTTGTTGAAAAGTGAAAGATTGAATGGTTTCTAACTGAAATGATACCTGTATCAACGCTGAAATGTTCACCTACGAAAGGAATTGAAATGTTAAAAATATGAGAACACATTGTGAACGCACAAAATGCAAACATATAACCATACAAATACATAAACATACAAACATATAAACATACAAACATACAACATACAAACATAAATTTATAAACATGCAGACATACAAACATGCAACATGCAAACCTACAGACAAGCAATCAAGCAATTATACATACAATCATTCAAGCAAACATACAAACAAACATTATTTTCTAGTAGCAATTCCCATCGAAACTCACCGGCGTCCCAAGAAGCTGTGTTGCATGAGTTGTGGAAATAAATGCAGCCGTCATTATGTGGAGGTTATCGAGAGAAGAGAATTTGTTTTAATAATTTTAAATTGAATTTTTCTTCTACTTTCTCCCAATTCGAAACTTTAAATTTTTTTTTCTAATAGTTTTGGCGCGTGAAAGCCAAATATTTTATTCACTGATTATTTTTGTTTTTAAAAAATGAAAAAAATCCGTTTTTTTTCTAAAATAATTTTTTAATTTCAAATGAGAAACAAATTCTAATTTATATTTGTAATTATTGAAATTTCTAAAAAAAATTGCTAAATTTATTAATAAATAATTTCATGGAATTAATTTCATTGCAAATGGATTAGAAGTGTCTTTTGTAGTTTAATAAATTTTTATAAAATTTTAAAATTTATAAAACATATTAAAATTTTCAATTAACGATGTGAGTTTTCAAACTTATCTCTAATGCATTTTTTGAAGGTCCCTTCTTTCAAATTTGAGAACTTTTTATTTTCTGGAAGAAATTTTCTGAAAGTTTCAAGTGTCACAGTGAATGACTTGGAGAGCTCAAACATAAAAAATGTAGACGAAGTAGTTTAAAATTTTTAAAGAGAGCAAGCTTTCTTTCTTACTTGTGAAGCATTCAATGATCCTTTGCTCGCTCAACTACTGACAAATTGTGTTTGTGTGTGTCTGTGTGTGTCTGTGTGTGTGTCTGTGTGTGTGTGGTGCGTGTGCCATTGCTGCTCCTTCCATATTGCTGTTCCTTCCATACCTCCCATAACTGCATCCATATCAACGTACTGTAAAACAACGGGATTCACGTTGAAACTTAATATTGAAACTTCGTTAATTGATAACGCTTCGTTAAGATTTTTTTTCGAGTTATACCAGCTGTTTAATAAAAATGGTACAAATACTAACAAATATAATGCAGACGTTATCAATTTTATTTTTATTTGAAAATAATAAATATTTTCTCCGCATATACGAATAAAAACAACCTGATCACTTTCATTCATATAATATTTAAAAAGTCTAGTTGAGAGATTTAAATAGCTGAAACGGTGGGAAATTTAGATAACCTCAGGGAAGTTATAGTTATAAAAATCTTTTTAAAATATTTTTTGCTTATCACGCAAATATTTAGACAAATTTATGCAAAAAGACGGGGTTTTCCTGTCTAAAAAAGAATTTTACTGATTTATAATAACAACACTGCTCATAACAACGATGGGCAGCATGGCCACCCCGGCCCCTTTGATCTGGCACTAAATTGACATCATTTGAAAATTTTCACATTTACAATTTCTTATCTCTATTACGTGAGTGTGTGAACGATTTGCGGACAAGCGCACGTAGACGTACTAATGAGTGTGGACAAACTTACAATCAGAAGCGTATAAAACTAAGACGCAAGCTTAACGTGTAATTCTGAAGAAATAAAATGTGAAACAAATCTATACTGACGTACGTACGTACAATGTTGATATGGGAAATGCATTTACTCCATGCTGAAGTATGAATGCATGCGTGTGCGAAGGAATATATCATATATATATCCGTTTCGTGTTGCATGTTTGTTCGCGTTTGTGGTTCAATGCGTGCGTGTTAAGTTTGTGTGCCTCATTTTATTTAAACGCAACTCATGTTTGTTCTAATTGTTTCTGCTTGTTCTTGTGAGTCATTCCGTGATTGTTGTAGCGAATGGTGGATGGGCACTCAATTGATTGATGGTTAAAAACATAAAAACTATCATTTTGTCCCTTCTCGCTTGTTAATGTTTATGCTTTTTATATGTTTATAAGATTGATTGATTGTGCAAATAAAATGAAAATATTTTGCCACTAAATAAATTATTGTTTACATATTATTCAGTAGACGTGTCCTCCGAAACACATCCTTTCTTATTTGCACTGTTTGATGTTGCTGGTTCTGCAGGTTTAATGCATGTTTAGCTCACCTCTTTTTACTATTCTGCTCCACCTTTCTTCGCCATCGTTTGATTATTTCAACATCCATTTTTGAGTGACCTATCAAATGAACTTGTTGTTTGTTGCAAGAGTTGAAAAACTATCAATTATTTATTCAACTATCAAACCGTATAATAATTTAGCAATTAAATCATCAAATTATACATTTAGTTATACAACCCTTCCAACTAACTAATCATCCAACATCTAATAAATCCTCCATTCATCTAACAAGTCATTCAACCATCTATCCAACTAATCATTCAATCAATTAACCAGCCAACTTACCAATCAACCGACCAATCAATCAACCAACCAACCAGCCATCCAACCAACTCATCACTCTACCATTCATAACATGTGCTCATCTGTTCACGCTCAAACAACACCACACAAACAGATATCTTATTAAAACTGTTTCATCCTATATGTTCATCTAGAGTTCACAAGCAAATAAAAAATTGATTTAAAATTATTATAGAAGCAAGAAAAACACACTAACCGATAAAAAATTATATAATTATAAAATTATAAACTTAAGTAAACAAACAGTTTCTAACACAATCATATTAATCAAACATCAGGGCGTTCAAACACCCATGCAAATACACACACACATACAAACACACAAACAAACAAACAGGCAAACAAACATATAGACACAGACAGACATACACACACATACAAACACACAAACAAACAAACAAGCAAACAAACATATAGACACAGACAGACATACAGACAGACATACAGACAGGCACATATACAAGCAGCCCGGTTTAGATGCCTCGGAGATAAGTTTGTACATTCAACTGTACCGCAAGCAGTGACGTCAGCACGAGAATACATTCAATATTTGTCTGTGTATGTGCGTGTACGTATTTGTGCGTTTGTGCGTGTGTGTACATTTGTGTTTGCACGTGTTTTTATGTATGTTCATGTATATGTCCGTATATATATTATTCTGATCATCGCTACTGCTCCCTTTTGTCGTTGTAATAATCTTGTCTGTAGACTCAGATCATCTTTCTCGGAGGTTAGTAAGTGGATGATTGCAAATAGGTTCAAATTGAATCCATCTAAAACTCAATTTTTACTGGTTGTTACTAGGCATTAATTGGAAAAAATGAACATTGAGTCTATCAGACTTGCGATTCTGACATTAAATTTTGCACATGCAAAGCCAGTTTCGAAAGAATGCTCTGGACAATTGCGTAGGCTTAGGGTCATCAAAGGATATTTAAACAAGCATACTATAAATAGACTATTGCAGTAGTCTATATTACGACTTGTCCGGTGTAAATATGGCTAGACTGTTCAAAATTGGGCTGCAAGGTTGGTTTCGGGTGTCCTTAAATACGACCAAGTTAAACCAATTCTTTTTGCTCTTCATTTGCTTCCGGTTTATCATAGAGATATTTTCAAGATATGTTTAGCGGTTTTTAAATCTATTATGAGAATTCCCCCTAAATATTTAACTGACAAAGTCATTCTTTGAACAATGTCAGAAGATTACGCTCCGACAATTCAGGTTTACTGTTTGCACCTGATACAAACATGTCTTTTGGTCGATAGAATGTCTCCATAATAGGTCCTGCTGTCTGGAATGGTTTGCCTGGGGACCTTTGTCATCCCGCGTTGTCTGCTAGTCAATTTCGTAAAAGGCTGAAACAACATCTCTTAGTTCAAGCTTACCCATGCTAATGTCTTCTTCTCTCCATTCACTGCATGGCTTTAATGAAGTGCTACGCGATGTACTGCAATAATCGTTAGCGCCTCTGAGATCTTTTTAAAGGGCGCTAACAAACACACCAATAATGATAATAATTATAATAAAAATAATAATAATAAAAAAAATAATTATTATAATAACAATAATAATGCGTATATAGGAACTTATATACTTTCCCTTGAGTCTTTGAAGTATATTTCTTTTCATTTGAAAGTAATTTTAATTTGTTTGTGTGCATTCAATAACATTTAGTTATTTTCATGAGGGATTCACTTAACTTCATCTGTGTGTGTGTGCGGTGTGTGTGTGTGTGGTGTGTGTGTGCGGTGTGTGTGTGTGTGTGTGTGCCTTGCATGTTAACTAGACGCCTGACTAAATTTTTGGTGAACATTTTTTTGAGTTAAAGTTTTTGTGAAATTATCAAAATTAACTTTTTAAATTTTAGTCAATATAAACATTTTAAATATTTTTTTGTAATGTATAATGCTGCTTCTTATATTTGTTCATTTTTATCAGTCTCAAACCGTCTCTCAATTTATCTGGCTGTTTATCTTTTCACTCATTCATCATTCATTTTTTGTCCATCAATCAATCAAACTATTCAACCGTGGATTCGTTTTTTTCATTCATTCATCCCAATATCTATTTACTCATCCGTCCGTCAGTTGATCAATTTTCTTTTGTTCATCTGTCTATCTCTCTATTTATCCATTTATTTATTTCTCCATCCATCCATCTATCCATCCGTCAGTTCGTCCGTCCGTCCGTCCGTCCGTCCGTCCGTCCGTCCGTCTATCCATCCATCCATCCATCCATCCATCCACCAATCAGGTTTCTCCAGAAATGAAAGGCTTATGTAGAATTAAAATAGGAGCTTGTTTTCAGTCGAGTGGTCGTAATATGGATGATGATGATGACGATGAGGAGGAGGAGGAAGAGGGATGGATGGATAGGAATGATGATGATGATGATGATGATAAGGATGTTGATGACCTAAAGCCAACGATAACGATGCAGGCAATTATGATGATGAAAATGATGATGACGATGATGATGACGATGATGATGATGACGACGACGATGGTAATTGGAGTAACGGAAATGATGAAAAGTTGTGTTTATGATAATTATTGTCTTAATGATGGTGACACTGGTGATTAAACTGATAATAATGACAGCTAATTATGAAAACTATTATAGGAAAAAAAATCCGACCGCATTAAATGAAACAATAATAGTATTAATAAACAGTGTATGTGTGTATATGAACATGTATTTGTTTATGTGTGTGTTTGTCTGTAGGTGTGTGTGTGTGTGTGTGTGTGTGTGGTGTGTGTGTGTGTGGTGTGTGTGTGTAAATAAATAGACATACAATACAAATATAAACATATAAACACATAACACATATAAACACATATAAACACATACACACACCATACACATACAAAGTCAGTCACGCAAATATAGTTGTGCAACAGGTATAAGCTGATAATCAAGAAGTTGTTAAATATTTTGTTAGTAGGGAAGGAGAGGTAGGAGGAGTAACATTAAATTTCTTCTGAAATATTTCTCGATGCAGGCTTGTTTATTATTGATGTATAGTTTATATGGTTTGCTCGAGCGTATACACGTTTGCGTTTGTACGTGTTTGTATGTGTGTATGTGTGTGTGTGTGTGTGTGTACGTGCGTGTGATTCTTTGTAAGTCTATGTATGCGTGTGCTTTTGTTCATGTCTGTGTATGTGTGTGTGTGTGTCCATGTGTTAGTGTGTATGATTGTGTATGTGTGTAAATGTGTGTGTGTGTGTGTTCCATGCATTATAAATAAAATATGAGTAATAATTTGTCAGATGTTCAACAAGTTAGAATTGATAAACTGCACTCTACGGAGTTTTGTGACAAAACTACGGGGCCATCGTGCAGTTCTCTCCTATTTATTAACGTTGATGAATGTCAATTTTTGTTTTTGCTGCAATTTTGCATCCGCTGGTGTTATTTTCAATCCATAAATTATTCATAATTGGACAATAAATGACGCTCCATGTTTTGAAAGTTTTGTTGTCAGCAAAAAAATTTTAAATAGTCTTTTAATTTTTTAGATCACATTTATCAATGTAATGACTTTTTTGGACGTTTTCAATGCTATTTAACTTCTGTAGTTAATGTGGCACAGTTTACGGTAAAAATGACATGATGAAAAAAGTAAAAATAATTTCAAGAAAACTAAATTCATTTAAAAAATCTTAAAACTTGTTAAACAAAATAACTGAAATATGTATTAGCAACATTTTTATATTATCTGGCATGCGTAATTCAAACAAATGAACAATAAAAGCTGTACCTAAATGGGATGATATCAAACAAATGACACGAACAACTTGACCAACCTTGGAAGTTGTTGCCTGATCCGCCACTTCTATCACTGCTACTACCATTACTGCTGCTGCCACTGCTTGTGGATGTGGTAGATGAAGTACTGTTGTTAGTGGTTGTGATAATGGATGAGGAGGCTGGGGTATATACGTTCAGGTAGAGACATTCTTCTTGCTGAGCTTTCAAGGAGTCTACAAGTCTGAAATTGTTTGTTTTTTTTGTTTGCATAAACATTGTTTGTTTGTTTGATTGTTTGATTGTTCGTTTGTTTGGTTGGTTTGGTTTTTGTTTATGTCTGTAGGTGTTAGTTTACAGTTGTTTGTTATTTTGTCTGTTTTTGTGTGTTTGTATATTTCTAAGTTAATGTTTTTCGGGTGGTTTATGTTTCTATGTTTTTTATGCATTCTAAAGTTCTTATATATTTTCTTGCGTTACAAAGTTTAAAGTTAAATAATTTCAATTTTGATTTTTTTTTGTTCAAATGAGCATAAAAATTACTTTAATTTTGTTTTGTTAGCACTAGTGTGTAAAATCACATTCAAAGTAGCTCATAAATATTTTTATCACAAATGTCAGAGCAGCCAAATTCATCATTCAAAGCATGTCATTTTTATTTCAGATATAAGCCTCCCACACTATCTTTCAACGCGACAACAACTACACACTATGCTACAACTATACTGCGACGACTACTCTCAACACAAAAACAAATGTAGAAACATCATCAGCGCAGCCACGGCACTAGCCACAACCACTTAATCGGATACTACTAAAATCGCCATCATCTCTGCCATAAAAAATGCAGCATCTACAACAACCATCGTTAGCGTATACTAATGCAACAACCATTCTATCAGCTACCAGAACCACCAATCAATTACCAAATCTATATGAACAGCCACCACAACAAATAAATATTCACTCTAACCAAGTGGCAGTTTCCAGTAAAAATTAAAAATTGCAACTTCAATATAGACCGGTAAATAAAATAAAAATTTGATGAAAGCAATATATTTAAAATGAAACCAGACGGCTGGTCATACCTTTCATAGACATAAAACTGTTAAATAAATTTCTCTAAGAAAAAATTAAAAATTTTACAAAGTGAATCTTAAATATTGAAAAAATTTTCTCAAAAAATAATTCCAGAAATCTGCTACTACAAACGATCACACAAAAAACTGCCACCCACTTTTTATATCTCTCCAGAAACCATTCATTCCATCCCCTCCCCTCCATCTTCATCCTTCCAGGATCCAAAATGGGCTGAGGGCAGACAGGTTTGTACCTGACGGCCATCTTGATGTCGGACCAGTACACAGTCGGTGGGTTGGGTGGCATGAACCTCAACTGGCCATCCAACAGACTGGCATACTCTAGTCCCAGGTAAGCTTCCACAGGCTCCATCTTCATTCCGTGCTGGGAGGTGATCAGCAGACCTCTCATTTTTCCGTATTTTGTGGCGACGACTCGCTGACTGATCTGTTGGGCGAGGACGTCTGCCTGTGCCAGGCTGTTGTTGAGAAAGATGTTGTTCATGAGGAGGAAGACCATAAAGAAGTGGATGGATCGGATGAAGGTTGAAGATGATTGGAAAGAGGTTGGTTGGCAAGTTACTGAGTTGTATTTTGAAGAGATGTGTTGTTGTTGCTGCTGCTGCTGCTGCGGTTTATAGGAACGTTTGAAGAAAAGATTGTGTTGATTTTGTTGATCTTGTTTCTGATTTTGTTGTTGATCGTTGTTCTGAAAAAAAGATTTTTGCTTTTGTTGAATTTGTTGAGGATGCGTTTGAAGTTGTGGAGGTGGAAACGAAGGAAAGATTCTGTTTAACGGTGATGACCGGTCAATTTTCTCATTCACGATATTTTCACTTCCTGCTCGTAAGTAGTTCAGGAAATATTTTATCCGGAACAACTGCTGATGTACTTGAGGATGGGAGTGATGAAGATGATGATGGAAACGTTGATAGTGATGTACATGATGATGATAAAAGTGATGATGGTGATGAAGATGATGATGAGAATGGCGAAATCTGAACGAAATATTTGTGGAGTTTATATTCATTTGTTTATTTCTTTGTAAACAGCACAAAATCTGCAGCAAGCAATTTTGTAGATCATAATAAGGAAACTTTGATGATGGAAAATTCGGTGGAGGTTGCATTTTCTGTAATTTACTATGAAAAATTTTTTTTTTCAACTTCTCGATAGAGATCTGGTAAAGATTTGATATTGTCATCGTTAATTGTTGCTGAATTTCCGGCTGCTGCTCTGCATTATCATGATATCCGATTGAAATAAAGTATTGATCTATCAGATGATATCTATGATATCTATCAAGAGCAAAATCTGTATGTTGAAGCATCTTACTGACGTACACCGCCAACAAAAACAACCTCGTCACAACTTTATACACGCAAAGAATCATATTCGAAATTAACATTTTGAATGTTGTCGTTAGCCCCATTGTCATTTTTGTGATTTCTAATGAATGAACTGTTATTAAAGTTATTTTTGAAACAAATTTCGTTCTCGTTGTTGCCGTTGTTGTTGTTGAATAGTTTGTAGGTGGGAATGAGATGGTCAATATGAGAAATAATTTATTCAGGCGAATTCTTCTAATTGAAGATTGGATGATTGTATTATTTTCTTGGGTGTAATTATTATTAACAATAACAATTGTCTCCAATTTATTGTAATTTTTACTACTACTACTTCTACAACAACAACAACTACTACTACTACTACTACTACTACTACTACTACTACTACTACTACCGCTTCCGCCTCTGCTACTACTACTATTACAAACACTGTGATTATTTTTGTTGTAAAAAATGGTGTCGTTATTATTATTATTGTTGTTGTTGTTGTTTTTGTCGTTGTTATTGTTGTTGTTTAGGAGTAATTGAATATAATGATGACTAGCGTTCACATGAAGTAAGGCAGGGTTGTTTATGCTCCGTAGATGAACTAGCTGATGATGACGATGAAGACGATGATGAAGACGATGATGAAAACGATGATGAAGACGATGATGAAAACGATGACCATCATGATGGTGATGATGAAGGTGATGATCTTCGTCGTCATGACAACGATGATGTGGACAATTTAAAATATTCAACTTAAAATTTTGGCGGTAACGATTACAATGATATAGAGGGCAATTACGATGATGACGTTGAATATGGCGATGATGAGGATGTTGATGAAGGTAATAACAGTGCCGTTGGTGGTGGTGGTGGTACCAAAATACTAATGGGCATTTGCATCGCGTTAATGGCTTTTGTTTGCGACTATAAATGCAGCTTTCATCAACTATTTGCTGCTGATGTAGTTGATGCGACAGCTGTTGCGGTCGTCGATGTAGTCGAAGTTGTCGTTGTAGGAGCTGTTGTTGTTGTAGTTGTAGGAGCTGCTGCTGTTGTTGTTGTTGGTGTTTTTGTTTTAATCGAGGTTGCAGTTGTTGGCATGTCTGTTCTCGGTGATATTTTTGCAATCTTTTTGTTTGTTGATG